AAGTTTCCTCACCTTCAATATCTTCTCCTTCAATATCGTCTCCTTCAAAATCTTCAGCATCGAATCCAGTAAGCTCGGTCTTTTAGTCAATAACGTGTTTGTCCTGTCCATGGTCACAAATGAATGAAGAATCATCTAATTATTCATGAATCAAGGGATTAGACACAATCACTATAATAATAATTATGAAAAGAGATAAAAACAACGTGAAGATACATTTGTGAGAGTCACATCGCCTTGATAGATCAATGTTGATTAACTATATGTTTGTTTTGGCATGATGATTAAAATAGTGGTGGGGCTAGTGCTTTGCGAAGGTGGTCATCTGACCCATGTAGATTTTCATTTAAAAACAAATTACTCTTGTATTTTGAATAAAATTTCTGAAAATGTACAAATTTTGCACATTGATCCATGTTATTGATGGTTGTTAGATATTTGACCCCAGGAAATAATTAGCTGGCTCCGTCACTAATTGAAATATGCCTAGTTCAAAGGTTAATTTAAAACCGACAAATATAGTCAATAATAGAGGAGAAAATCACAAATTGGATAACTTGCTATATGACAGTAGTTTTGATGATGATGCTTCCGAATTCATTGTCATTAGGATCATACTAATAAAACAATTTCAATTAAATGCAACACCATCATGCATTACAGCATAACTCATACATACGTTTTTCTTTAGTAATCATGAGCCATAAAAGATAATTAAAGTAATGACAATAAATATAATTCATTCTGGCGTATACGTTTGAGTTTACTTGTTGTTACAAATATCAACTCTTTATTTTGTCATTAGTGGCAATTAAAAGAGACATTATGTTGTTGATTTTTCAACAAAGCCAAAATGAAATTAGACCAAATTTTTAAGTTACTAAATCATTTGCCATATTTTAAGTCCACAGTTCACAACTTGGACCCAACATCTCTTTTATCTAGTATACAAAATATACTCAAAGCTTTTAAACCATTTTTATAATTCTCCATTATATATATATATATATATATATGAACATTCACTTAAATTTCAATGTACAACACTCATGGGATTCAAAAACTTCGCTAGGACCTTGAAAACCAACAAACAAAGAAGGTGTTAATAGGTGAACAAATTACACAAACTTACTGTCAAACCGCCTACAAGATCAATCGTCTTTATGAAATTTTTAATGGTTGAGGATTGTAGAGAGTGGACAGGTGACTATGCGTCTGTACTCTCGATCCATATCCTCTAAAAACTGATACCAGGATCTATCGTTGCCTGACAAACGGCTAGCTAGAGCAAAGCGCATCAGGTCTTGAAAAGACTACAAAGAAAGAGAAAAATGATTATTAACCAAAAAATAATCATCGAATAATTGATAATTAGATTATTACCTCTCTATGCATAGAGTGAAGAATCTGGCTGCCAATCAACCTGACACGTTGAATCATCAACCTCTGACGTTGAATGTTCTCCTCGTCCATAACCAAACCTACACTTAAAAGATAAACCACTCAAATCAAACCTATATAAACATTAATCACAGAGATATCACAAATACAAGACAAGTCTAAGTAAACATATTCTTTGTTATGAAAACGCAAGACCATACTTTCAAACATGAAGCAGATAAAGCAAACACATTCTCAAAAAAGAGTGAACACTAGACTATAAGTATATTAGTAAAGACATGGTATCAGAGTTGTGCAAAAACATATTTTCGAGAGACTTTAATTCTAGAGACAAAACCCAAACATAATATGAAACAAATTCCAGTGGCTCTTATTGAAACCAAATACTAAACCCACAACGTAACTTAGAGTATATAGATCCAAGAGACTCTTATCAACACATAGCAGAATAAACATTTCAACATGTCATTTACAAATGCAAGCAAAAAAGAACAATCTTGAGAGGGTACATAGCGACACCTGATTGAGCAACGGACAACCTCTAATCTGTCAAATGCTAGTTTCCGGAAGAAAGGTGAGACATGGGATTATGTACGTGAACGATTGAAAAATTTGCATGGTTTTGATTTTGCCTAACTATATATTTGTTTGGGCACGATGATTAAAATAGTGGTGGAGCTAGTGCTTTGTGAGGGTGGTCATCTGACCCATGTAGATTTTCATATAAAAACAAATTCTTCTTGTATTTTGAATAAAATATCTGAAAATGTACAAACTCCACACATTGATCCATGTAATTTATGTTTGGTAGATAATTGACCCCAATGAAATGATTAGCTGGCTCTGCCACTGATTGAAATATGCCTAGTTCAAAGGTTGATTTGAAACCGACCAATGCAGTCAATAATAGAGGAGAAAATCACGAATTGGATAACTTGCTATATGACATGAGTTTAGATGATGATGCATCCAAATTCATTGTCATTAGAACAAAAAATCAATCATACTAATAAAACACTTTTAGTGAAGTGACACACCATCATGCACCTGAACATATTACATCATTGTACCAACTGGTGCAAGGTCCACCACCTTAATATAATTAACTGGTGCAAGTGTACTCCTTTTATTTGTAATTAAAAAAATGCATAAACCGTACTTAACTGTTGAACATGGTTATAGAAAGTCTCCTTGAATCAGCCACCACTTTAATAATCATACTAGGATAAGACCCGCGCCTTGCGTGGGATGAAACTATTATTTTTATTATATTTTTAAAAATGACACAATAGTTCGGTTTCATTCGGATTAGAGGTGTTCAATCCGGATATCGGGTTTCGGTTCGGCTCGATTTTTTGGTATTCCGATCATTAAAATATAATTACTATTCTAAATCTATATGTACTTCAGTCTGATTTGGTTTATATACCATCGGTTTTCAGTTTATTCAATTTTATACCAAAAACATAATTATTTAGTTTGAGATCATATTATATATTATACAAATATATAATATGATCATATTTAGAGTCATATTGTCACAGAGTCATTTATTAAAAAAATATTATATATTTAAATAAAAGAATAAAAAATAAAAAGGCTTCTATCATATAATAAAATGATCAAATCTAGAATTAATATCAAAACACTAAATTTTGAAAATAAAAATAAAAAACAAAACAAAAGCATGAATGAAAAGTTTTTATATTCTTCCATATTTAGTGTTCATAAAACCAATATGTCTTCGATTGAACACAACTCTGTTTGTTTAAAGATAAAAAAAGTTGTAAAGAATTTCAACTAATTGTTGTCCATCAAATTTATAATCTTTACTTCAATTTAGTTACTGTTAAAAAAGCAAAAGATCAAAATAAGAAGTCTTAGTTGTAATAAATTGTTAGCTATTTACAAATTATAATTATAGTTCAGCTCATGTAACAAATAA